GCACAAACTCCATTACAGATCACAAAGCCTCTACAAAACATGGTAAATACGTAAGCCTGTCAGTTTTCATTACCATTGTTTTATAAGAAAATGAACTCTAAGTTCAAATGGTATTAATCCAAAATTTTAAATATCAGGTAGTACACTGAAACAAGAGCTCTTTAGGCACCTAGGAACCACAGTTTTCAAGAGGTTCCTTTTGTAGTTAAGAGTAGTCTCTTCCTTAAGCCAATTAAGAAAGAAAGGGGGGGGGGGTGGAAAAGAGTCGTCTCTTCCTGAGTTGCCTATAGCTAAGGATAGAATTATCCTTCTTCTAATAAGTCTATAGAATTGTCATACTAATAAAACCAAAATGACTTCACTTGAAATTTCTAGGAGAGTTAGTAGCCCTTAATCTTGAGCTTTCTGCTCCAATTTGTTACCAATGCTTTGAGAAACTGATGGACAAATATGAACTTTTCCCCTAGAAAAATATACCATCACAAAATTTTATATGCATATCATGGGAATTCACTACTTCCAGAATAATTTCCATGCAGTCCTTAGAACTTAGAAATTTCTCAAAAATATCTTGGTGGGGGGGGGGGGGCTGATTGGCTCAGGCAGTAGAGCATGTGGGTCTTGATCTTAGGTTCATGAGTTCAAGCCCCATGCTGGCCATATAGCTTACCTAAAAAAATAAATTATAAAAATATCTTCAAGTAGAAATTGGACACTAAATTTTACTATTGCTTCTCAATTATCTTTGATTTTAAATAGACTAGTTATTGGCTACTTAATGCAAAAAAAAATTCTCGAGTCCTTTCTAATTCAAACTATTTGTAAAAATTAAACTTTGCTTCTACTGTAACTGAGATTTCACATATTTTTCTTCACTTCCAAGAAAGAAGGAAGAAATCTAATTTTACAGCTCCAAATACAAGGACTAAAAAAATCTTAGTTCATAAAATTTTAAAGGGAAAAAAAAGATTTTTGGTTTATTTCAAAAAATGAGAAAACATTTAAATTGATCATTTAAAGTACAAAAACTAGACTTTTATCAATTTTTGAAAATGTAACACTTATTTTTCCTCATTTCAGAGATATATACATATTTCCAATTTATCCCTAATTAAAAACAAACAAAAAACCCATCCACTTTATAACTAGTCCTTAACTTGGATCTAATAACATTATATACAGGACCTAATAATGGATGGTAGTTCTACGAGGAGAGAAAGGCAGGTGTATGAGACCATTTTGTCCAGATAGAACCCAATTAAAACAAGGTGCTGGATTATAATGGCTAGACCCTACTTCAACAGTCTCAAAGATAGCTGTGTAGGGTAGTATCAATTACATCACCTATTCTACCCAAATCAGACTAGGTAATAGGAGTAGAAAGGTTAACTCTCCACTCACAATAGAGCCACAACACCCTGGACATCCCAATGAAAAAGTTACACTATAGGAACCAGGTAGTTCCAATTTATTAATTATCACTTTAAAACCAATGTTTTCAGAATGTCTTTCCTAGCAGAATTATACTTTAATGTAAAGCTCCAATTCTAACCAACATAAATCAATTTTATTAAAAACACACCAATAGTACCAACATCTTGCAAAGTTATCCCTTCAATTAAAAGAGAAGCCGTGGCACTAGACTTAGTATTTCAACATTCCTAACTTCAAAGTTAAGATCTCAAATTTAAGATTATAATCTTAACAAAAATGTTAAAATATTATAATGGCACAAACATCTGCCCTCTCAACTTATCCAAATTTTTCTTTTTTAAACCCAAAGGGACTCATTTATCTCATTTTAGAACTGACAGTCTATTGACTTCCTATTTGAAAATTACTTCTGTAGGGGCACCTGGGTGGCGCAGTCGGTTAAGCGTCCGACTTCAGCCAGGTCACGATCTCGCGGTCCGTGAGTTCGAGCCCTGCGTCAGGCTCTGGGCTGATGGCTCAGAGCCTGGAGCCTGTTTCCGATTCTATGTCTCCCTCTCTCTGCCCCTCCCCTGTTCATGCTCTGTCTCTCTCTGTCCCAAAAATAAATAAACGTTGAAAAAAAAAAAAATTACTTCTGTAATTCATCAACTCCAAGACCTCATCAAATGTTGTTTTTTGACTTAGCAAGCTACAATGTATGACAGTGTACCAATTCAAACATTTAATCCCTAAACATCTAAGACTCAGTCAAGTTCTTCAATTTATTACAATTTGGAATTATTTTTCAATCCAACTACACTAATAAATAACAACTAAATTCTAAAATTGAGTAAAGTCACGGGGGTGGGGGGAGGATTTCTACTTAAAATTGTTTCTTAAAAATTAAGAGGCATGCCCAATTGTGTTCAGCTTATATTATTAAAATTGGTTAAATAGGAGTACATTAATAAGTTTTATTTTCTCAGTGGTAAGACCTAGAATTTGTCTGTCCTTCACCACAGAAACAAAATATGGTAACAATTACCAGACAGTTCACATGACAATACTGCAGATACATTTTGATCATGAAATGCTTTCTTAATCAGGGGGTATATACAAAACTGTCATCTAAATCTGCCCCATCTTTAATGATCAACATACCATTATACTTTTTTTAGCTAGACCCTCAATGTCCAAGGCAAAAGTTTGTTTTAACCATTCACCTTTACAAGTACATCATGCTTCAACAAATTATCAAAATATTTTTGTTTTTCTAAAGTTAACTCAGAATTCAATTATTTCTATGTTTAGCCTACATTTTCAATATTGTGTAGCATGCTATTTTCAATATTGTGACTTATATGGCCTACTACTACTGACAACATGAACCAGGACTGTACAGCAGCAATTTACTTGGTAGTGCTTACATCCTTTTATTAAATTCAGTATCTATTCTTGATGTCTATGCTTCACTGATCATAGTTTTGGCTGGATGTAAATTGAAACAAATTCTAAACAGATGATGGAAAAAGGTAGCTTAAAGGAAAATAAAAATCCCTCACGCTCCTCAGAGAGACTGCACATGTTACTAATGATATCCATTGCACTATAAGACGTCAAAATTATTTCCGTGAACAAAATTATCTATAAAGTTTAACAAACATTGATACTTTAGTTGAGTTCAGCTCGGAGTTCAGGTTGTAGCTCGAGACTGTCCAAAATACTCAGAAGCAAGACTTAACTAAATGTCTAACACGTACTGTAGTGCTACCTTGCTTTTATAAAGCATCTCCCCACCTTCCCTGGCTGCAAAACAAGAACTACAAATTAAATTCCAAGGCAGTATAACACCAACACCCCAACTTGAAAGTATGATCTGTAAAACTTAGAAACAAAAATAAAACCAAAAGACAAGATTCTGCAGTCACAAGCACTTTAATTTTTAAAAACAAATCACTTATTAAAAAATAAATGGCACCAATCTACTCTAAAGTTGACACAAGTAAAATAAATTGAGAGGTTCTGTCTGATAAGTGCTGAAAGTCAGTGCTACACCAGACAATCTCAACTACTACATGCACTTATCACTTAGCTTATCTGTAAAGTTAGACTTAAAACACTACTCTCAAAAATAACATTCAACTGTCAGAACCATTTTACTTTAAAAGGTTAAATAACCCAAACAATTTGAAGAGCTTTATTTTCAAAATCAACATTACAGAGCATAATTTCTACATTTAAAATTCTTACAGTACCAAATAGAAGTATTACAGTACAATTTTCCACAACAAAATTGCAGCACACAAATCTTGCGACTCCTTGATTTCCTTGAACTGTCAATACGCTGCACCCTGTTTAAATGGCTGTACCTGAAAACCAAAGTATGCAATTCCTTAAGATTAGAAGTCATCAAGCTATACTGTCAAGAATCTGGGGAAAATGAGAGGAAGATTCTATTATCCTTGTGTCTCAACCCAGTTTCCACAACAAGGTAAAGCCATAGCTATGATAAAATGTCTATTTGCTGTAAATAGTTAAATACTGAAACCCACCCGATATAAAACATCTGAATGTGAAGATTTCTGTAAAATGAACTCACTTAACTTTAGTTCGGTTATCGATAAGTAAGGACCCTCTTTCGAAATCTAGATCTATAAAACATCTTCTTAAATTGGGTCGTTTCTTCCCCTATGTTGAGAAACCAGAAAGAAGGCAGACTTACACTTAAAAAAAAAAAAAAAGCTATTAATAAAGTTACAGGCTTTAGAAAAGCTACGTACTCCAAAATAAGTCTGCAACATAGTCTCAAAGATCAAAGAAAAAGTCAGGGATAGACAGTAGTTTATTACCCTCCGACTAATTAGAATTGGGGAGGAATGAATGCAAAAGTCCCAAAGATACAGAAAATGAATCTTATCTTCTATAAAAGTCATCCGAGCAAACACGCAGTACTCTCAACACTCTGTTGCAGGGGGTAAAAGGAATACAAGCCTCACAGACCTGCTGTCAACATTACATGCCCCAGTGAGGCTCCCCGTGGGGGCCGCACAGAGCCCAGCCACCTTTCCAGGCCATCGGGAAGCGAAATTCCCCCACTGTGCACGGAACCTGCGCTCCCCAGCGCCCGCAGCGCGCGAAGGCCGAGGTGGCCCTAGAACGCCACCCAGCGGCCTGCCGGGAGGGCTGCAGGCGGGTCCTCCGCGGCTCCCGGCTCGCCGCACCCCCACCGCCACCCAAGCCCGTTCCCCTCTCCGGATGCACAAGGCCCAACCCAAGAACTAAGACCACAAAATGGCTGCCGGCAGCTTCGTCACGTGACCCCTTTGTGCCTTTCGGGCTCCCGAACTCCGCGGGACCCGGGTACAAGTGGCCGGGGTCGGCGGGTGGCCTTAGAGGGGGCCCCGCCGGGCCGCGGCGGCCGGGGGTCGAGGCCGGGGGAGGCGGGGTAAAGGCCCGGCCGGCGACTGAGGGTCGGCGGCGAAGAGAAGATGGCGGCCATTTTGTGTGGGTATGCTGCTCCGCCGCCGCCGCAGGCAGCAGAGGGAGCGGGGCCTGGCGCTGGGTCGGACAGGGGAGTTAACACGTACCGACTCCTCTTCCTTCTCCATTCCGGTGGGCATCTGCGGCACGGCCCGGTTTATCGAGGCGTATTCGTGCAGGTCGGGCAGATCCTCACAGCGGAAAACCGGCAGCGGCTTCGAGGCGTCTAGCGCCCGCGCCCGAAACGACAGTTTACTCATCTCAGGCGCAGCAGATACCTCTCCGCTCTGGGGAAACGGCCCCGGCCAGCGGGATCATGGAGAACCGGGGGTTCGGTCCCCACTCGCCTACCGCTGCCGGGGACTTGAGGGGCGGAGCGCAGAGCCCGCCGTCCGGGCACTAACACCAGCCGGGAGGGTGGGAGGCTGTGCCGCTCCGCTCCTCTCTCGCTCGCTCTCTTCAATACGCCATGGCCAACATGGCGGACATTAAAACTCCACTGTGCGCTCTTCAGCCAACCCCAGCCATTCCCCACACTGCATCGCGCAGCGGCGCGGGCACGCGGGGGGGGGG